TGAGATGTATGACAATGAGAAATGGAAGATTCTATTTATACATATCCAAAAATATTACCGTTGCAAATATGATCGTTACAAATATGACTGTTACAAATATGACCGTTGAAAAATTCAAATTTTAAAATTTTGAATTTCATAATCGTTGTAAATATGACCATTATTAATAAAAATTAAAATTTTAATGATGTGTCGTAGCACATCAACATGTGATCATCAATATGGTGATGATATGACATACAACATAGCATTTTAGATTTTAATAATTAATAGTTAGTTAAAGTTATTTGAAATAATTAATTAAAATAGATATCATGGTTGGAGTGAATTTGAAAAAGTGATTAACTAAAATAGATAATATAATATTTAAATATATTTTAAGTAGCTATTTTAGATAACATTGTTGAAGTTGCTCTTAAGGCACTGCCGGAGTACTTGGAACTTCCTTTGCTTCAATCTTGGTCTCTAGACCCCTTTCTTCTCGCACCTCCAAATCTTCTATTTTCTCTCTCTCCCCAACTCCAAGTATATTACTGTGTTTTGAATTGAAAAATAGCATAATCAATAATTCAGAAAGATATAAAATAGAAATTACAATAATGTTTTGAATTGAAAACTTGAAATTGGAATGTATTGATAGATGATAAACATTGCAAATGGCATTGGAAACAACACACTCATTGAACAAAAAAGGATTATTTTACTATACCTTTTATTCTTCCCAGAGCCTCCGTTATATTGAATAAGGAAGTCTAGTACACTGATATTGCTTGAAACATACTCTTTTGACAATTACTTTCGCTTTTTCTTTTTATTTTTCTGTAAACATAATTAATTATGTTTGCTTTTTACTTATTCTAGAATATAATGATTATTTTTTGTGAAGGAATCTTTCTTTTCTTTTCTTTTTTGATTGCTAACATTATTGCTTCTTTTTCTAGAATCGTCTAACATCGTAAATTATCCGACATCTTGGACATTAATGTGCTGGAGCCTTAAATTATTACTGACATCCCTCGGGAGCAAAAAAAAAAAATTCTTGAGTTTTGAGAAGATGTAGATAAGGATAATTTCATCCTTCGGGAAAGCATTTTTGGACAATTTTGCTAAGGATTTAGAAAATTGAACTCATCTTCCACAATAAAAATTGGAATTGGATTTGCTTTGATGAGGTAAAAAGTTTAAGGGAAGAATTATCTTGTAGGAATTGGGATGTAGATTATATTGAAGAGCTTGTAACAGTTTGAACAAATGCTTGAATGAGTATTTTTTTGTTTTGAAATGGAGATATAGGAACAAGTTTGACAGGATATAGATAGGTTGTGAAAGAGGAAGAAGGGGAACTTAGGCCACGGCTGCTTGATCGGTTTGGAATGCATGCACAAGTGGGGACTATAAGGGATGCAGTGCTAAGGGTGAAGATTGTCGAGGAGAGAGCTCGTTTCGATATAAAAATCGTAAGGACTTTAGGGGATCTTACTAGGCAGAGCAAGAGAAGCTTCAGCAACAAATTGCCTCAGTCAGGAGTTCTCNCCATTATTAATAAAAATTAAAATTTTAATGATGTGTCGTAGCACATCAACATGTGATCATCAATATGGTGATGATATGACATACAACATAGCATTTTAGATTTTAATAATTAATAGTTAGTTAAAGTTATTTGAAATAATTAATTAAAATAGATATCATGGTTGGAGTGAATTTGAAAAAGTGATTAACTAAAATAGATAATATAATATTTAAATATATTTTAAGTAGCTATTTTAGATAACATTGTTGAAGTTGCTCTTAAGGCACTGCCGGAGTACTTGGAACTTCCTTTGCTTCAATCTTGGTCTCTAGACCCCTTTCTTCTCGCACCTCCAAATCTTCTATTTTCTCTCTCTCCCCAACTCCAAGTATATTACTGTGTTTTGAATTGAAAAATAGCATAATCAATAATTCAGAAAGATATAAAATAGAAATTACAATAATGTTTTGAATTGAAAACTTGAAATTGGAATGTATTGATAGATGATAAACATTGCAAATGGCATTGGAAACAACACACTCATTGAACAAAAAAGGATTATTTTACTATACCTTTTATTCTTCCCAGAGCCTCCGTTATATTGAATAAGGAAGTCTAGTACACTGATATTGCTTGAAACATACTCTTTTGACAATTACTTTCGCTTTTTCTTTTTATTTTTCTGTAAACATAATTAATTATGTTTGCTTTTTACTTATTCTAGAATATAATGATTATTTTTTGTGAAGGAATCTTTCTTTTCTTTTCTTTTTTGATTGCTAACATTATTGCTTCTTTTTCTAGAATCGTCTAACATCGTAAATTATCCGACATCTTGGACATTAATGTGCTGGAGCCTTAAATTATTACTGACATCCCTCGGGAGCAAAAAAAAAAAATTCTTGAGTTTTGAGAAGATGTAGATAAGGATAATTTCATCCTTCGGGAAAGCATTTTTGGACAATTTTGCTAAGGATTTAGAAAATTGAACTCATCTTCCACAATAAAAATTGGAATTGGATTTGCTTTGATGAGGTAAAAAGTTTAAGGGAAGAATTATCTTGTAGGAATTGGGATGTAGATTATATTGAAGAGCTTGTAACAGTTTGAACAAATGCTTGAATGAGTATTTTTTTGTTTTGAAATGGAGATATAGGAACAAGTTTGACAGGATATAGATAGGTTGTGAAAGAGGAAGAAGGGGAACTTAGGCCACGGCTGCTTGATCGGTTTGGAATGCATGCACAAGTGGGGACTATAAGGGATGCAGTGCTAAGGGTGAAGATTGTCGAGGAGAGAGCTCGTTTCGATATAAAAATCGTAAGGACTTTAGGGGATCTTACTAGGCAGAGCAAGAGAAGCTTCAGCAACAAATTGCCTCAGTCAGGAGTTCTCTTTCCTCCGTTCAGATAGACCATGATCTTTAAGGTTACACTTTCACAGCTGCTATGCTACACAAGATTTTCGTAAATGTAGAGTTCGAAGAGAATCAGATCTACGTAGTTTTACCCTGACATGCATAGATGTTGCTTCGGCTTGCCACAGACAAGAAATGTCTCGGTAAAACCATGTAGACACCCCCTTCCTCCTCTTTCTCTTATTCATTTTTCTATCCTCTTTACGTAAATTTAGGTAAGAGTAAATTACATACGTGACTTTCAAACTATTATCTTTATATCAATTAAGCCCTTGAATTATTTTTTTTTGTGTATTGAAACCCCTGAACTCTCTGATTGTGTTAATTAAACTTTTATATCTACCTCCGTTAAAGTATGTCATTTACCTGATCCATTAGAAAGTTCAAAGACTCAACTGACAAAAAAAAATTAGGGACTTAATTGACAAAAATGTCATAATAAAAGGGTCATATGTGAAGTTTACTCAACTCATTTGTGTCATGGGAGTGGCATAGTTTGCTGCTTCCGTTAGAAAATCTAACAAAGTCATACAGCAGGACGTAATTGACACAATTAAAAAGTTTAAGAATTCAATTGACATAAAAAAAAAAGTTTTATTGACACAAAAATCATAGTTTAATGATTATATATGCAATTTACTCTTTAGGTAATCATGTTTTTTTCCATTTCACCGTCGAGGAAGGATGTGGGAGTGTCAAACGTGTCAGATTAGGTCATTTCGTGTCAGATTGATTTTCGAGTTTGTGTCAAAAATCTCAAAACTCAAACCTGACATGTTTAATAATCGTGTCGTGATGTGTAAACACTAACTTGATCTAGCCATTAAACAAATTACCCGAACCCGGCATGTTTAACACGTTTAATAAACATATCATCTTCGGGTTAAAACACATAACATGATTTGTTTAACTTATTTAGCACACATAACCTATTTTCATATCAATTCATTACTATTAAATACATCATTCAATCATTCATCCAAAATTTAAAATAATTTTTTTACAAAAAACATATTACATCTCATTAATAAAATTAACTAAATTGCATTCAAGTTTCAACCTAAAAATTAAAGTAAGGACTATACTAATATACTGTCATAATAATGTTAAGAACTATACTATCAATTATCATAGTAGAAGTAAGAACTAATAAATAATAATGTTAAGATCACATCAGTCATACATAATAGGCAAATTATACCGTCATAAACAGGTTAAATAAGTCTACAATGGATTAGGACGGATTCGTGTTCGAATCTTGTTAACCCGTTTAAAATATACGGGTTAGTCAGGTCAAAATCAGGTTGACTTGATTTTGATATTAACCCGACATAATTATTTTTACATTTAAATGTGTTGACCCCTTTTAACCCATTAATTCGTTTAATTACATCCAATTCATTAATTTTGTGTTCAATTCATATCGTGTTAACGTGTCGTGTCAAGAATTGACAGCCTTAGATATAGAATTTTATCTCAAGGACGGCTATCTGAAATTTGGGGGGAAAAAAAATATAGAGGCGAGTTTATATACAATTTTACCCTGCTCTGTGGGAGGGGTTATAATAACAATGTGGCCTCATCGACAAAATTAAAATTCTATTTCAGCAGAATAAGGATCAAGCTCCACAGGCTTTTTCACCTAATTGATTTGTTCTAATGGGTCGCAAGATTTATGACTTGACTGCTATTGTGTGAGCCAACTTAACATTGCATCACCTTTGCCTTAATGTAGGCTGGCAAAGCCTTTGCTAGGGCTAGCTTTTGAACCACTGTCATTTGCAACATGCTTTGTAGCATTGAATTGTGCACACAAGTAGGGTGAGGTATGGCCCTACAAGTGACAAAACTCCTACACTCTCTAAAATTTGCCATAAATTTTGCAACTCAAATCAATGTGAATGATTGGATTAGTGGGTTCCATTAACTTGTTTCAGTGAACTCCACCAATCCGATTATCTAGAGGGTACCTAGATCCAACAACACAACATGTTCAAATGGGTTTATATCCAACTGGAGAGTCAAAATTCTTATAAAAAAAAATCTATATTTGGAGCTCCAATAAAACACAAATACACAAGCAGATATATAGCAAGACAACTTTTATGTACAGGCTAATACAAAACCATTTAGGGATAAATATGAGAAAAATTCCATTCATCTTGTAAAGAGCAGCTCAGGCTTTTATAATCTTCATTCAAGCTGAAACTTCATAGCTTAACTATTTTCCAGAAGAGTTAGAATTTACTCACACATGCAAAGCACAAACTAGCTCCAAAATGGTAGTACAGATACCCTTTCGTTCATAACCCCATTGCGGTATTCTGAACTGCAGAAAATATCAGAAAATGTGCTCGGTCCGTTTCAAAGGAGGTCCTGCAAGAGCATGAAGTAGTCAAGAGATATGTTCAAACTCGATGGAGATGACTGAGCTGGGGAAAGCTCAGAAGGAAGATGTTGCCCCCGTTTGCATTAACAATACACCCCACGAAGATATTACACCAAACTTGTAGCCAATAGTCTCCAACATGTCAAATTGTTTTGAAACCTGGGTTTAATTTTAAGTGGTCCACATAAGATTAAACCTAAAAGCAGAAAACTCATGCACCTATTGGTCTCATAGTTATAAAAGTACATCAGATAAAAAAAAATGTAAGTAGAATATGTGCATGTTGAGCTGGATCTCATTGCACAGAGGATAATAATATGTGTTACAAACAACTAAATTTTAATTTAATTCAACTCATTAGAACATCCTTGTCCACAACTCTAGGCACCTTAAATTTTGGATTCTGCTCTAGGAAGGCCGGTGACCTTTTGTACACGACAGATGCTGCCCTAATCAGAATCCCAGCAGTTAGGCCCCATATCACATACTTCTTATCATTTGTTTCATAGTCAAAGAAATGTATCAGATACTTGTCACCCATCCAATCTCTCTCTTCTGAGCTCCGGTTTTCATCCTGAACCAACCATTCCAAAATTAGATCTCCCGACACATATAAAATCCATCTAGATGGTCAGTATAGGCAGATTCAAATTTGGAATTTTAGATTAAAACCTTGAGAAACATTTCCAAGGGAGCGTCAAATACTGCTTCCACTTCAGCAGCATTAGGAGCAGGCTTGAAGGCTTTCCTATCAGAAAGGATGCCAATAACAGGAATTACTCTGAGGAGGTGCTGCATAAGAAAAGATCAAATTGTCATCAGGTTTTTGAGGAATTATGCTTCAAGCATATTAAGGCACAACGTGGTTATCCAGCATATTACATCTTAAAGTGTCGTACAATATAAGCATGTAACCTGATGAAAAAACTCAAGTAATACTCATCTCTGGATCTCGTGCATGGGTTTTTAATACTCCTATGGAGAAAATAGAAATCAGAAATGATGCTTTCTGCATGAGACACTTCACAAAAATTCATCTACATAATATGGAAAACAAGAGATGGATTTCAACGTTGTCAATGGGAACAGAGTTGATTAGACAGAAACCAAAAATCTCCACAAATATACTCTTATACCTTATTAGCTGCTTAGGGTGCTACACAACAACCACAATTGTCAGAAAGGGATAGATAAAGAGAGAAACAGGTTCTGAAGCTTATGGCTTCGATCAAGAATAGAGAAACAAAAAAGCACAGAAACAAAGGAGAAGAGAGGATGAAGATATACTTTATTCAACGAATCAGTTACATGTACAGTTGATGCATTTATAGTGCATGAGCTAATGCATCACCTCCACTTAGCTGTAACAAACTCTGTAACAGATTATACTAACTCATTTAATTACATCACAAGGTGTTTACAGCTCAGCAGCATAACTAACTTAGCTAACAAGCTGTCACTGACTGCCCTAACTACCAAACTCTGTCTATTGCCTTGACTGAGAACTTGTGTGATTTGCAACAGCAGCAGCTTCAGGCTCTGCTTCAGCTGCTGCGTTAACAGTATAATGGAGTATAGATTGGAGAGAAAAGATTTTGACTGCTAACACCTCATTTTCAAAATGATTTTTGGAAGTTAAAATGGGAGTCGTCTTATATGAAGAAATGACTAGTATCCACTCCACAGTGCTATATAGAGAGTCGCAATATCATCTACCACAACTTCTTCAGATTCTAAATCAAGAAAAAATTGTTCTTTGTCTGTTTTCTGAGTGATTCTCTTTGTCAGAAGATAGTGTGGGGCCAGGGCCGGGACCGGGACCGGGACGACGGGAAGGAATGAGAACATTTGGAACTAGAATGTCCAACCTCAATGTATAGAGAGCCAATAGAGAGAAGTCCAGCAATACTGGAGAAGATGTTTAGGGGGCCAACAAGCATAAACATACGAAAATGAGACATTATGCACAAGGAGAAAAATTAAATTGCAGAACATTTCATATCTGTAAGATTCTAAGGAATTCGTAGACAAACTATTCCACATAGGAAAATGATAACATTGAAAGTAAGGTGTGTTTGCAAAACAAAAAAAGGAAAGCAATGTGTGTTCTGCATGTTATGTAGCAAAAACACTGTGCTCTTTCTCAAACCTCTTTAATTCAGGATCTTACTTGTCAGATTCAACCTTGATAACCATTTACTAATCTCTCTTTCTTCTCATCTTTGTATGCTAAGGCAATATGCTACCAATAGAGTTTTCATAAAACCAAATATCTCAGTTACTATGACAGGTCAAAGAATCACAATGGTTCAATGATTTTGTGAATGTCCAATAGAATTGCCAAATGACCCTTCCCTGCAGTAACTATGTGTCTGACTATCAAACGTATACAAAGAAATATTTCCAATAATTAGGAAAGAATTTCCCTGGAGACATTTTGATTTTGCCCACATTGAGATTAACTAAACTGGTGTAAGAATGATGCTGCGACAGACATATCATACATACCTTGGACAAGAATGGTTCAAGGGTAGTTACAACATTCACAATTGATGGATCCAAGCCTATCTCTTCCTTCGCTTCCCTTGTTGCTGTCTCAGCATCATCTGCATCTGCCTCCTCTGCTTTTCCTCCGGGCAATGCAACTTCACCTGCATCAAAACTACATATTCAGATGAAATCAACAAAAACAAACACAAATAAAATAATTATAACTATCAACGAAAGACAGTTGCTAAGTATACTGGACAGAAATAAAACAATACAAACCGCGGAGTTGGATCCGCGTAAACTGTGTTTGAGATTAAACCTTGTCCCATGAAACTTTGCTATANTGACTGAGAACTTGTGTGATTTGCAACAGCAGCAGCTTCAGGCTCTGCTTCAGCTGCTGCGTTAACAGTATAATGGAGTATAGATTGGAGAGAAAAGATTTTGACTGCTAACACCTCATTTTCAAAATGATTTTTGGAAGTTAAAATGGGAGTCGTCTTATATGAAGAAATGACTAGTATCCACTCCACAGTGCTATATAGAGAGTCGCAATATCATCTACCACAACTTCTTCAGATTCTAAATCAAGAAAAAATTGTTCTTTGTCTGTTTTCTGAGTGATTCTCTTTGTCAGAAGATAGTGTGGGGCCAGGGCCGGGACCGGGACCGGGACGACGGGAAGGAATGAGAACATTTGGAACTAGAATGTCCAACCTCAATGTATAGAGAGCCAATAGAGAGAAGTCCAGCAATACTGGAGAAGATGTTTAGGGGGCCAACAAGCATAAACATACGAAAATGAGACATTATGCACAAGGAGAAAAATTAAATTGCAGAACATTTCATATCTGTAAGATTCTAAGGAATTCGTAGACAAACTATTCCACATAGGAAAATGATAACATTGAAAGTAAGGTGTGTTTGCAAAACAAAAAAAGGAAAGCAATGTGTGTTCTGCATGTTATGTAGCAAAAACACTGTGCTCTTTCTCAAACCTCTTTAATTCAGGATCTTACTTGTCAGATTCAACCTTGATAACCATTTACTAATCTCTCTTTCTTCTCATCTTTGTATGCTAAGGCAATATGCTACCAATAGAGTTTTCATAAAACCAAATATCTCAGTTACTATGACAGGTCAAAGAATCACAATGGTTCAATGATTTTGTGAATGTCCAATAGAATTGCCAAATGACCCTTCCCTGCAGTAACTATGTGTCTGACTATCAAACGTATACAAAGAAATATTTCCAATAATTAGGAAAGAATTTCCCTGGAGACATTTTGATTTTGCCCACATTGAGATTAACTAAACTGGTGTAAGAATGATGCTGCGACAGACATATCATACATACCTTGGACAAGAATGGTTCAAGGGTAGTTACAACATTCACAATTGATGGATCCAAGCCTATCTCTTCCTTCGCTTCCCTTGTTGCTGTCTCAGCATCATCTGCATCTGCCTCCTCTGCTTTTCCTCCGGGCAATGCAACTTCACCTGCATCAAAACTACATATTCAGATGAAATCAACAAAAACAAACACAAATAAAATAATTATAACTATCAACGAAAGACAGTTGCTAAGTATACTGGACAGAAATAAAACAATACAAACCGCGGAGTTGGATCCGCGTAAACTGTGTTTGAGATTAAACCTTGTCCCATGAAACTTTGCTATAATACCATGTTGAACAATCTAAAGAAATACAAGAGATAAGAAAAGAGGAGGCTAGGGTTTTATTGATACTGCATAATTCAATTGAAATACAAGGAAGTAATTTAACCTAAATACAAAGAGACTATATATAAGCTAAACAAGGCAGGAAAAATAAAAGACTATTCTACCCTTAATAAACAAAATAACCCTATATTTCTTAACAGAATCCACACAATCTCCATAGTCAACTTTATACAAAACAAAACCACACTGTCTATTAAGCCAACCAACTAATACAAAACATAAACATCTCATTATCAGTAACAAAGAACCTCCATTAACAGATATAGCAATTTAAGCAATTTATGCAAACACAATCGTCATAATCAATGTCATAAAGAAGGAACCCGCTTGCACCATTAGACCAAGCAAAAAGGGGGAAGGGGGATTCAAGAGGGATTAACACAAATTTTCGTTTATTAAGTTTATTACCAATGAATAATCAAAATGCTTCTTTGTTTGACCCAATCCGTAGGGATCAATAGAAAAGACAAATCCCCTAACATACACCAGCCCTTTTTTTTTTTTTTTGTTCACCGCGGCATGAAAGAATGAAGAAGCTGGAATAACTCAGAAAGGGAGCCTGTACACCCGCACCTTTCCTCTTACGCGAAGTTATGTAGTGGAGAAAAGAGTGCCTGAGAGATAGATTCTACTATTTGCTCAGGACAAATCAGTGGCTGCCACATCACTTATTCACAAACCTCGTGTGGGGCTAATAGTTTTCATTTCCCATCTCATGAAAACATCACTTGCCAAACTGAAGAAAACCCACTCATTTAGTTGCCTAAAGATCCAAGACATGTGCCGAAAACTCCATTTTACACACAGCATAATGATCATCATCAATTGAAGTCACCCACTTGCCAAACAATCAAAACCCACACTTGTAATTGGTCAAAACTTCAACACATGCACTAAATGACCATCATCACTTGCTAAATCAGCAAAACCACAAGGGTGATTACCCAAAATTCCAACACCAACCAAAGGCACCTACTTGATGAAACAAAATATTCCCCAATGTAGATTACTCCAAATTTCAACACGAACACACCCTAATGATCAATTGATTATCATCACCGCCACCACTGCTTCTATATACACAATTCAAAGCACCCACTTGATAAATAATCAAAACCACTGTATTAATTACCGGCCAAAACAATAAGAAGCCACTGACCTGAGTGAGTGGAGAGCTTTGAAGACCTCTTGGTGAGAATGACTCGAAAATCGCCATCATTGCCTTCAAAGAGACAGATCAGAACAGCAGCTCTCTTGGGTCTGAACTTTTCCGGCTGATTAGCCACTGGGGTTGCAGACTCTACAAAACCCACCTGAGAAACAACCTTCCCTGCACTCTCTTCGATTTTCTGTTCTTCAATGTCAGTTTCATCCACCGCTGGCGGAGGTTTGTAGAGACGGAGCTGTTGGGCCAAGGCTATGAGTCTTGGGGAAACTTTGAAGGAGTCGGTGGATGAATCCATGATGAGTTTAGAGAGAGAATTCGAAGATGATGGTGATACTAAAGGGGATGAGGCCATTGATATTGTTTTCGTTCTTAGTAGTGACAGCATGTCCTAAATTTGTTTGGATATCACCTGCCAGGAAAATGGCTTAGTGTCCATTTTTTCTCCCTCTTAATCAGAATGGTCTATGTGGGGGTTAATGATGATAGGCTTGTTATTACTTTCCTACCACGTCCAACTAATGAATTAAGAACACCGTCAAATCATAATACTAATTAAACATAATAAAAATTTTAAGGTTTTTTTTGTACTTTGTACCTTGGCCCCGAAAAAGTTTCAATTTTTTTCCTTTAGACCCATAAAAATTAATTTTTTTACATTGTATTTTCAATGGATTAAATATAGCTTTTTTATTAACTTCTGTTATTTATTTTTTTCTTAAAAATAAACTCATTTATACTGATGAAAAAACTAATGAAAAAATAATAGAAAGATTATATTGTAATATTTTTGATATATTGAAGGTGTAATGTAAAAAATTTAATATTTGAAGGTATAAAATAAAATTTTAAAATATTTTAGGGTATAAAGTGTAATTCACTCTAATTTTTAATTATAATTTTTAATTTGAAATTAAAAAATAAAATTTTAATCTAAATTAATAATTTAAGCACAAATAGTATAGTTGACTCAGTTAAAATGTTCGTAGGGGTATTTGTTACTGGGGATGACAGTGGACTGAAGCGGGAGCGAGGGGTGTAGTCTCGATTAGACCTATCAAAGTTTGACGTGCCACAATTAATCGACACGAATTACATAAGTTTGGGTGACACCTTAATGGGTTTAGATGGTAAACTGATTGACCCGCTAAACACGTTTAATAAACTAGTCGTGTTCGGGTGAGATCTGTCAACTTATTTACCACCCGTTTATCCATTTAAAAAATTAATATAATAATAAATTATTAATTATTTTATAAAATTTAGGTAGAATTAAAATATTATATACAAATATATGATAAATGAGTAAAAAAAATCTTAATTCAAAAAAAAAAAAAAAACAGTGAGAAGGTATTTGAAACTTGACAGAATCGCCCCTCCCCCCATCTCTATGTGTTTCTCTAGCATTTTTTATTTCTTTTTGACTTCTGCAGATGAGATGGAACTTGGTTTGAGCTTGGGAGATTCAACAAAACCATTTGAATTCTTGACAAAGAATCAAGAGCTTACCAACAACACTGGTCGGTGATTCATTGCTTGCTTTTTCATTTGAGTTCATCGCCACCATCTCAACTAATGTCTCTCGGGCGAGAATTCTTGTGATAGTTGGTGAATTGGCAAAATCAATAGGGACTGAAGGGCTAGTTGCTAGGCAAGTGGTGGATATGGCCTCAACTGCGGTCTCCATTGTCGGAATGGAAGAGCTAGAGTTCATTCATCTCCACAAGACCGCTACATTGCTGGAGGCAGCAATGGTGCCTGGGGCTATTCTCGGCGGGGGTGATGCGGCAAAGGTTGAGAAATTGAGAAAATTCGCGAGTTTTGGGTTGTTGTTTCATGTGGTGGATGATATTCTTGATGTTACAAAGTCTTCTCATGGGTCTGCATAGTGAACACAGTGAAAATTTTTGGCTTGACTTCCACATCGATAAATTTAAATGAAAGAGGCATCCTATGCCTATAAAAGGTTGTACCCCCATTTTTTAGTGATTCAACCATCTCATTTGCTTTTGTAAGTAGCAACCTCGCCACCGCCCCCACCCCTTCCCCCGTACTCGCCACAGTCCAAGCCAACATAATCTAAAATTCTAAATAAATTCAACATTCTAAATAATCTAACGTAATTATAGAATATCATAACATAATTAAAAACTTGTTTACAAACATAATCTAATATTGTATAATTAAAACCTTATTCACAACATAATCCAACATAAAAATAGTCACAATTTTGTCAATTCTTGTAATCAACAACATGTAAAAATAAACTTTCCCGTAATATATTATGATGCTAATAATTCCCTTAAAAATCAATTCACTTCTTTACCCTTAAGGAATTATCAATTAATTAATATCATTTTAAAAGAAACAAAAACTGTTAACTCATATGTAAGAGAGTGGACAATTTCATGGCCAAAATTCCTCGAAGGGTTAAGTTTAAGAGAAAATATTGGCCTAACTCTGTGATGAAACACATTTCCTCAAACTAATAAGTACGCATTCACTATTGGTGAAATTTCAAAATTGCAAATATAAGCAGTCAGACAAGCTTGTACAATGTGATTTTGTTGTGCCAAAAACTCAGCAGCAATTCACACCATTTTGATAGAAGTTTACTAAAACAAATTAATTAGACACAAATTAGCCATAAATTGATTAAACACAAAATGGAGTGCAACATTTCAATTTTCTCAATAAGCAACGGCCTACACAATCAATATTGTCATATAACTAGGATTTGAAGAGAGTTCATGGTCTAGTGGCCTCTCATCGACGCCTATATACTCTTATGTACAACTCAAATAGACCATGTCAGATCTGAACACTTTCATTAACTATGAAACTAACAAAATACACATGATGAGCCCCAACATTCAAACAAACAAGACGCCAAAAAATTAGTTTTACATTTGAGACTATATATATACATATAATAACGAGTATAGTGGAGACGAGGTGAGGGCAAGTATCAGTTCATCTCCGCCTTCATTCCCATATGAGTATTCCTATATACATCTACCGTCTAATATCCAAATAGGATAGATTTTAACGAATAGTCATTTTTTTTTTACTTCACTGTCATCCCTATTTGTTGCTATTGAAAGTATGTTTCATCATTGATATTTAACAATACAATTGTAATCAATGCATAAAAAGGGCTTTAGAATTTAGTTTTTTTTTACATCAAATCATAAAAAAAACAAAAAACTATTATAAGTTAGGGTAAATATCATTGATATCGTTATAATCAATCTATTTCGTCAATTTTAAGAGTTAAAATAAATTATTTTTGAATAAAATATATTTTTAGTTTATAAAGTATACATTTAGTGTTTATTTAATCTATAATTTTTTAATTATATTTATTTAATTTCTAAAATTTTTAATTTGTATCTGTGTGATCCAATATAAATATTCGTTAAATAATGGTAGACGATTACGATCAAGCACGAATCTCGTGCGTGGGCTGTTGCAGATCTACAAATATTGGGCTCCCTTAGGGTTTGAAAGGGAATGGGCCGTCGGCCCGGGTAGCGCGGTTAGACTGTTGGCCCATCCCTCATCTCATCTAGCCTCTGGCTTCCAAAAAAAAAAATATTGCAGACACAAAAACCCCACGACCACAACCATCAACACTACCCGAATCACCACCACAACCTCCAATCGACACCCAGAACAAACAGCACCCCAACAGAGTGACGAACATCATTTACTTCAAATTCAGGTGTTCTTATCCTCAAGCTGCGAAACAGAAATTGGAATTGCTGCTTTGTTCTGGTGTCTGTTAAGTGTTTGCAATTGGCTATGGGTCACCGTCTTCTTTTGTAAAGATTGGGCTCTATGTTCATGGATTGTGAATTTTTCTCTCTACAAATGCGTAGTCCTCCACCTGTTTTCCGAGGTATCTTTTCGCCACTTTACCAAATTCCCCCTGCTCATTCAATCTTCTATAGCAAATCCTACAGGCCATCTTTACTTTCACTTCGTTTTCAGTCATCTTCTTGTGTTGCCCTGAAAGTTACTGAACTTAACGACCCATCAACTGATTCGGCTTTGTCCAATATAGAAAACCACCAAAAGTTTCACCTTTGTGATGGGTTTAAGAAAGTATCCAGAGATATTGATAGTCTTAGTTGGCCCAACTCGAAGTCGTCAACTCTAATAGGAGAAAGAGATTCTAATAGGAGGCGATTTGACAAGTTGGGTAATGGAGGGGTCACAGAATTTTATGAAAGAAAGAAGCTCAAGTGGTATTCGGAAATGTTGCGAAATTGTGCCTTGAAATTGTCCTTGAATCAGGGTAAAACAATTCATGGGCAGATAATAAAAAATGTAATTCACCCAGACTCCCATTTGTGGGTTTCCTTGATTAATTTATATGCGAAGTGTAAAAGTTTAGTTTTTGCTCGCCGGGTGTTGGATGAGATGCCTGAGAGAGATGTTGTGGCATGGACGGCTTTAATTGCGGGTTTTGTGGCCGAAGGGTATGGTAGTGATGGGGTTAGTTTGTTATGTGAGATGAGAAATGAAGGTCTGAGGCCGAATGAGTTTACTTTTGCGACAGCTCTGAAAGCTTGTTCTATATGTTTGGATTTAGAGTTTGGGAAACAGGTGCATGCAGAGGTGGTTAAAGTTGGGGTTTTTTCGGATACTTATATCGGTTCTGCTCTTGTTGACCTTTATGCAAAATGTGGTGAAATGGAAAATGCGGATAAGGTTTTCTTTTTCATGCCTGAACAGAATGCTGTGTCCTGGAATGCTTTACTAAATGGATATGCTCAAGTGGGTGACGGAGAAGTGGTTTTGGAACTGTTTTGCCAAATGACAGAATTGGAGATGAAGTTTAGCAGTTTTACTTTGTCGACTGTCCTAAAGGGATGTGCAAACTCAGGCAATTTGAGAGCTGGTCAGGCTGTACACACCATGACAATAAAGATTGGCAGTGAACCTGATGAATTTGTTAGTTGTAGTCTTGTGGATATGTATTCAAACTGTGGGCTGGCAGATGATGCACTCAAAGCATTTAGGAGGATAAAAAATCCTGACATAGTGGCTTGGAGTGCAATGGTCAGTTGCCTTGATCTGCAGGGGAGGAAACAGGAAGCAGTTGAGCTATTTCACTTGATGCAGCGTACAGGTTTGACACCTAATCAATTTACTTTTTCTAGTCTTGTTAGTGCAGTCAGTGCCTTGGGTAATCGACATTATTGTGAAAGCATCCATGCATGTGTATACAAGCATGGTTTTGACTCTGAAAATCTAGTAAGTAATGCATTGATTACGATGTATATGAAAATTGGGTCAGTTCATGATGGCCACAACGTTTTTAGTGCAATGAGTAATAGGGATGTAGTTTCATGGAATGCCCTATTATCTGGATTCCATGACATTGAAACTTGTGATCAAGGGCCCAAGTTCTTTAAACAGATGCTTAAGGAAAATTTCAGGCCCAACATCTACACATTTATCAGCATTCTAAGGTCTTGTTCTTGCCTTTCAAATTTCACCTTCGGAAAGCAAGTGCATGGCCTTATAATTAAAGTCAACCTTGGTGGTGATGGTTATGTCGGAACTGCTCTGATTGACATGTATGCCAAGTGCAGGTGCTTAGAGGATGTTGAAATAATTTTTAACAGGTTAAACGAAAGAGACCTCTTCACTTGGACAACGATAATTGCGGGTTATGCACAGTCTGATCAGGGGGAGAAGGCTATTCGGTGTTTCAGTCAGATGCAAAAAGAAGGTGTTAAACCCAACGAGTTCACTCTTGCCAGCTGTTTGAGAGGTTGCTCTGGGATAGCTAGCCTTGTAAATGGGCAACAGCTGCATGCCTTGGCAATCAAGGATGGGCAATTTGGTGATATGTTTGTCACTAGTGCCCTTGTTGATATGTATGGAAAATGTGGGTTCATTGATGATGCCGAGACTATATTTAATGACATGGAGTCATGTGATACTGTGTTGTGGAACACCATGATATGTGGATACTCACAACATGGGCAGGGAGAAAAAGCTCTTGAAGCTTTTAAAATTATGTTGGATGAGGGTGTCTTACCTGATGCGGTTACTTTTATTGGTATTCTGTCTGCTTGCAGCCACTTGGGTTTGATTGAAGTAGGCAGAAAGCATTTCGAATCAATGAGTAACATGTATAAAATTACTCCTTTGATTGAGCATTATGCTTGCATGGTTGATATTCTTGGTCGGGCAGGCAAAGTTGATGAAGTCAAAAGCTTCATTGAACAGATGAAGTTAACTCCAAATGCCTTGATCTGGGAAACTGTTCTTGGGGCTTCTAGGGTCCATGGAGATCTGGAACTTGGGGAAATAGCTGCCAAGAAACTTTTTGAAATAAATCCTGAAAAAGACTCAACTTATGTACTGTTTTCTAATATGTTGGCCGTCAAAGCGAAGTGGGATGATGTTTCAAAGGTTAGGGGAATGATGTCCAGTCGGGGTGTGAAAAAGGAACCTGGGTGTAGCTGGGTCGAGGTTAATGCTCAAATCCACACCTTCTTGTCTCAAGATGCCACACATCCAAGGATTTGGGACATCCAACAGAAGTTGGAAGAGCTGGTCCAGAAACTTACTTCAGTAGGCTATACTCCAAACACCAATTATGTGCTTCATAATATCACTGATAGAGAAAAAATCGAGAACCTCCTTTATCATAGTGAAAAGTTGGCTTTAGCATTGGCCCTTATAAGCAATGTCCCCGGTAAAGCAGTTAGAATCTTTAAAAATCTCCGCATCTGTGGAGACTGCCATGAATTTATGAGGCTTGTTTCCGGCATCACGGATCGGGAAATAATTGTTCGTGACATTAATCACTTCCATCACTTCCAGAATGGCACATGCTCATGTAAGGATTATTGGTGATGTAGATCTTCAGGAATCTGAGGGATGGTGTACCTGCTGCAAAAGGTCTTCCGCAATTGGAGATTCCTCGAAATTGAAGTGTTTCCAGTATCACAGTTTCAAGGGTAAAGAATTTTATACCTTCCTCTGGTAAATTAAGGTATAGTTCCCTGCTGCTCCTTTTTTGACATAGTTTCTGCACTCATGCAAAATACGCTTATTTGAAGCGGAGCTGCTCCTGCTCAGTAAGTAGATATTTGGAGCCCAAGTTTGGCTTGCAAATATCTACAAGATGACATCTCTGTTGTCCTATTTATATGAGTGAAATTCATATGAAGCTTCTTGGGTATGTTGAGCAAAAATTTTCCATTGGTGACTATAGTTGCATCCCTCAATGGCACATCAGCTTTACTGCCAAGTCCAGAACAAACAAGCTCAAATATCTCCCACAAAGGTATTTTTAACAACTGGGTCTCTCTCTAAAATCTTCACTTTGTTAATTTAGGCACTGGGTGAGTGGTTTATTGCATCTTTGTTTAATTTTTTTTGACTGTGTTTGTTAAAGAACTGGTTAGTGACTTCTATCTTGTAGTCATTTTTATTGACTTGGTTTTATTTTCAATCACTCCAGCTGTACATATTTAGGAAGGTGTGTTAGTGGATGATGTTGTTTTGCTACCTTAATTTTAATGGGTTTTGGCTCTAATCTTTTCCCCCTTGTACCCTGCATTTAGATTGAGACTTAAGTTGGTTTATATTTTATTTGTGTGTATTTTTATGACGAGATTGTGTTTTTTTCGATACTTGGATCAGATCACAGATGCTGAACCCATTGCAATCTAAGAGAATGTTTGCAATTTGAAGAAGCAGGAAGCTGATTGTATCTTCAAAATTGGTGTTATAGAAGGAGACAGACTGGAGGTAAGAATAAGTTTTTAACTTGGGATTCTGGGGTGTTTGAAATTAGTGTACTGCCTAGGTTTTTTCCGGTTATTGCTTGGATCTTGGTGGACCATTTTTGAAATACTGTGTACATAAGTCATTGAGTCAGGTGTTGATAATACACTGATGGAATCTTAGATAAGCTTACAGTGTTTAAACTAGAAAAAAAGGATTGTGTTCCTTCAGAAGGTGCTGTTGTATATGTTGCAACTCTGATGCTCAATTTACTGAATAAGGATTGTGTTCCATTCAGAAAGTGCTGTTGCATGTGTTGCAACTCTGATACTCAATTTACTCATTTTGGAGTAGCTTCTGTTATTTAATTCTCTCTGTTTCTGACCATTGATTTTACTTGTCTTCGTATAGTTGAACAAGACTCTGGAGGACAATGCAATTTGGAATGCAAATCCATTGACTGGCTTGTCAAGTGGTGAGATCTTGGTGATCTTATTGTTTTCTTGGTGCAAAATCGATATTTACTTTGCATATATTTATCAAGATGATCTAAAGTTATTTGAGCTTATCAGATGGCTAGAATCTGAAACCGAAATAGCATATACTTCTTTTTGATCCAGAATAGTTGAATACTACTGCTGAGATACCTTGACACTCACTATACATAGTGTGGCAATATATGGCTGTTTGTTTGAAATCCTTGGATTTTTCTCCCTTCAGTTGGTTTGGAGTCCAGTGTTTCACTTGTATTCCCTCTTTGTTTATTTTTAGGCTATATGCATGATTCCTCGAATGTGTTTACAAGTCTCCTCATTCTGTGAGAGCTTTGGTTCGTTGTCCCACTCCCTGCATCTCGTTTCGCCTGTGACTATATTCATTTACAGGCAGTTTCAGTTGCAAATGATTGACCCCTTTTTGTCTTAAGTTGCTTGTTTAGAAAAGTTCTGATTTGTTGAATGTGATAATGACAAAAGCATATGAATAGCTTCTGCATACAAAGCGGAACTTTGCAAGGGACTCAGAAAAAGAGGGGAGCGCTCTAGGAATATGCAACATACGGAGGAGTGGTTCAACGAGGAATAGATGATGAATCTGAGCACGCCTATGGCTCTATGAGGATGGAGATGATGAATCTGAGCACACCTATGGCTCTACGAGGATGGAGATGATAAATCTGAGCACGTCTAAGGTGAGAAACTAAAGGATTTAAATAGGGTGTGCTGACTTTCTTGAAGTAGCATGTCCATTTTTTTTCCAGTAGCTCATTTTGTAGTTTAGCAGTGAACTGCTTAGGCTAACAATCATAAGGCTGTGAGCTCAAATTTCCAGATCTACTTTGTGCAAATGATGCCAGGTTATACCTAGTCTACCCCTTCCAACACCCTTGGCTAATGGGTGCCAAGCTGGGTGATGACCTATGCCCTTTTTTTGTATTCTTATTCTAATCCTTGCATTTGATTTCTTCTGGTCTTTCTAGTTAGTAGATCTGGTTGAAAATCGAGATAAAGATGAAGTGGCCTGGGCACAAGCAGCAAGGGGTATATTAAGCTGCATTTTAGAAAATCAGATGGCTCTGGGGCCTCTTCGTACCAATGAGAGAGACACGGTATGAGCCTTCTACTGTTAATTATAGTTATCAGATGACAGATGGGAAGATGATTATCATGTTGTTGCACTGCTGATCAGTCAAATATTTTCACTTTCTTATTCAGAGGCAATGAATGGATGCAACAAAGCAGATCAGTGGTTGCAAGAGAAGATTCAACAGTAGGACTCTTTCCCAAGAGTACTAATCTAGTATTGTGGTCCAGTGGATCAAGAGCAAAGCAGAGTCTCGCTTGATGTGTAAGTTTCTCATACACTAATTGCACAACAATTTTAAACTTGTAGTTACAGAAACAAGGTCAAACTACAGTGCAGAGTCCTAATCAATTAAGGAAACATGTTTTGGTGAACCTTTTTTGGAAAACAAAAATTTTGTTTTGCAAAAGATATGGATGTACAATATAGTTCAATTCCCTCTGTGAGCCTACACAGAACATGGTTAGCACTGCTCGAAACTACATCTAACATAGTCCAAGAGAATGTTTTTTAACAACCGAGAAAACTAGGTAACTTCTTATCACATCCCGAGAGATGGGGAATATGTTTACACACTAAGATAGTTTGTTCTTCATAAACTCTGAGGTGATTGGTAATGGTAAATTTTTGCTCCATTTCTCATATACATGCATTTATAGGCTTGTACAAAAATATGGTACAGATCAATTGAATTCTTCTCCTAAGGAAATATAATTACAGGAGTAGTATCATAATCTATAGTTTTGACTAATCACCACCACAACAGTCTCCAATATTTGCATTCACTATTTTATACTCAATGTTTCTATTCTCTCAATATGGTCCTTGAAGTATTGAATTTGGGTTACGTGGTTGCTAAGTCTAACAATGTCTAAATTTTGATGAATTTAGATCACGTGCTTCTCTCGTGACCTCTCTAGATGCCCTTTTATCATGGTCACATGAGAAACACGTGATCTAATTGCATCACTTACAAACAACACGATTAAACTAAAATTCAACACTTTGGAAACCCTAAAACTGCATGGAATGTAGACAGTTTAAGACCATCCCAAAACAGAGGTAAGAACATAGAGTAGCAGGAGAGAAATTGCATATAGAAGATATGCTAAGAAGCTAGTCCAAAGTGGGAATTTGGTGCAGAAACTAGCAAAGAGACCCATCACTGTGCAGATAATCAAAACAACCAGGACTTCAGCTGAGACATCCCATGCCAAATCTCGAATATAGACTAGTGATAAGAACACAACTAAACCGATCATATTGTTCATGAAAGCTCCTCCATATATCTGTAAAATAGAAAAAGAAATAGTTTCAAATGTCAATAAGTAGCTAGTTATTCTAGATATCAAAATATCTTGAAACACTTCGAAACATTCCAAAACGTTGGTGGAAACAGGTTGAAATAACTCAAAAATACCTTGAAACACTTTGAAGTATTAAGAATTTTGATTTAATCACTGAATCCTTTCGGCCTCTTTGGAAATAAAAATGTTAAACAATATTTTGATCATTGACTAAGATACCGGTGCTTTTTCTTTATTATGGTTAAGATGTAAGTAATGGGATAAAATGTTTAATGTGGTTTTAAAAAAGGAGTATGGTTAAAGTGTTAGTTGTAGTTAAAAAGTAAAATGTAAAAAAGCAAATCTATTACGACTACAAAGATAAAATGTAAGTCTTAAGATAAGCGGTGGATAGTTTATAACTAGGACTCTGTATTATTAAGTGAATATAGATAAAAGAACTTTAAGACACTGTAAACGGAAGTAAAGAAAGAAACAAACCTGGGACAAAGTTAAAGAGATAGATGTTTGTGTCTTCTGTCTGGCAGAATTAATTGCCGAAAGTGCCCTTCTGTAGTTCATCGCCAAAGGAATGACAACATAGGGGACAAAGAATGAAGGGATATTTGCAGAAGTAGCAAATCCAGCAACAGCTTCAATGAGGGGACGTACGAGTAAGGCTAGAATTGTTATTCCTAAAAGCACTAGAAATAAAGCCTTAATGTAATTCCACCATGGTCTGGTTGAACTCTTTTCACTCTTATGTAAGAGTGATTGCTTCTCTGGATCCTCAGAATTCTGCAAAACATTCGTCAAGCAAGTCTTTAAGTAACTAGGTACGAAATTAAAGTTGGTCAAAAGACGTTATGAACGTGAAAGCTAACCTTAACACTGTTGCCTAAAAGGACAGAATTCTTGTGGTCCTGATTCCTCGCAGATTGTTTAGCCTCCAAAAGCCATTTAGTAAGTCCTTTAACAAACTCATCCTCATCAATATGCCCATCACTATTAATATCAAATGCTTCCATGACCTTTTCCACATAATCATCCTTATTAAGTAGAACATCGTCTTCTAATTGTATTCCAAAGATAAACATCTTCATCTCAGCTTCTGAAATATATCCACTCTTATTCTTGTCAATGTCATGAAAGATCCTGTTAATAAACACAAAAATTCTAGTCAATACTGGTTAGCGACGAGAGATTAAGTTATTCATAAAATTATTTTATTTCACCCCCCAAAAAATAAAAAAAGGTGTTCAAGAAAGCTCAAACATTCCTAATTGGGCACATAGAATAGTTCTCAAAAAGAGATTGCTCGATCTAGAAAGGATTAATTGATGTGCGTATAAACTAATCTAAACATCTTTTAGTCGTTGAACCAAAAAAAAAAGAGAGAGAGATTGTTCAACACAAATAACAACCCTTGTCTATACGAGAATTGCGAGATATTAATTTTAGTATGTGAATTGGGAAGCAACCGTAACTGGCCTGAGTGCGTGTCAAGGGGAACTCAACAATACAAACACAATAAATTCGATACGACACGACTCTAAAATTAATACAATTGATAAATACACATAATAAGTGGATTGAATTAATATTTAATACTTATAACTAGAGGTGACAAATGGGTGGGTTGGGTTGGTTATAAGTTTGGTTAAATTGAATTGCGTTAAAATAAATTTAATTTATTTTTCACTCATATAGTAAATGGATTTATAATGGGTTGAGTTAAACCGATTAACCCATAAAATAATTAAAATTCTTAATAGACCCATTAGTACACTAAAACACACACACACATTAGTAGTACACTAAAATATAAACATACACGCACATATTAATACACTAAAACACACAAACTAATACACTAAAATACACATATATACTAACACAAAAACTAAAATAAATTAAACAACAACAAAAAAAAAAAAATACACACACAATAGTCGGGTCGACTGTGTGTTATGGGTTGGTCCGTGGGTCATAGAGTGACCCATGGGTTATGGGTCAACACATGAGTCGTGGGATGCCATGGGTTATGGGCCCATATTATTCAACCTATTTAGAATCCATATTAATTAATATAAATATTTAACCCATTTATTTATGGTCGGGTTGAGTGGATTAATGGATTAAGATTGTCACCTCTATTTATAACACATTAAATAAAATTTTTTCCTCATTGAATTGACACAAACACAACACAAATTATAAAAAAGTACGATACAAAAATAACAACATGCAAATAACGCGGCATGGCATGAATTAAAACCCCTGGATGGACGACATTGGTTGGCATGCATTTTCTAAAATTTAAACAAAACACGGCATTGAAAAAAGATATCAATGGGTTTAAGATATCAATAGGGTTTACTTTTTTATGCGTTGAATGTTAGGCTTGCCATTACGTAATAGAACGCCCATGAGCTTGTCCTTCACAAACTTCTGTACCAAATATTTAAACCTCCTGTTTTGAATCCATGGCTGGAACACCTGCACAAGTATTCAGAAATTTGACTTATTTTTTATTTCATTTTTCATTTCACGGACAACCGACCTGGAGCGGTCGTTCAAGCCTCTTAAAAATGTCCAATTACAAAAAAAAAAAATTGAAATGTAAACGTCTACGTAACTTTAGTCCAAATCGTACCAATTGAAATAAACATGACACGAATTTAATATGACATGAAAAACTATGAATGACTCGATTATTGATTGAGAAAGTTTCAACATAATGATTTTTTATGCATAAAAACACTCCGAAGCCACTTGATTAGGGTCCAAATTTTACCTGATAGAAGGAGAAAGCAAAGAACAATGCAAGAGTGACAATGAGAGCAACCAGAACTATCACTCTTGTGGCAGAAGATGAATTGAGAAAGTTGGCCAGTTGAAGAATAATGAATGGGAGCATTGATAGTATCATGATTCTCGCTGTATAGCTAGTTTCAACATCAGCATTTACACCAAAACCTGCACAAAGATAGAGGCATTCGAGTACAAATTACAAAGAAGATAGGGATGTAAATGAACTGAATCGAACCGAGTACTAAACTGTTCCATTTGGTTCGTTTTTCCATGGTTCTTAGGGTTAATTACAAAATACTCCCTTTAACTATGGATAATTTGTCTTTCACCCCTTCAAATTTTAATTGTAACAAAATGTTCCCTTTAAATTTGAATATTTTGTAATTAACTCCGACATTTAATTTTAGACCATAAAAAATGATCTCTACTTTGTTGAAAATGCACAACTACCCATAAAAGTATGTGTTTGTGTGTGCATGTGAGCGCATGCATGGTCGTTGGTGTTGAGTAGAGATAGAGGAAAATATGGTGTTATGTAGTGTGTTGGTATTGGTTTAAACAGAGATAATTTTTTTAGTTTTTCCGTTTCCTTATTTTTTAGGGATAGAATTGGTATAAGATGGTGGGTATAACTGTACTTTCATGTTGCTAGTGTCATCAGTTAATTTTTGTCCCTTGAAACTTGGAAGGGACAAATTACAACATTTAAAATTGTAGGGAGCTAATTGCAACAAGAGGCATAGTTGAATAGGACAAATTGTAATTAACCCTAAATTTTAATACGAGCCAATCTTGGACTGTTGACGATTCATTTGCAGCCCTACGAAGAAGGTGAGGGAAGAAGGGGTAACCTGTTAAACTCAGCGGTATATCGTGTTCGGTATCTGATTCGGCCGAGTCATCGGAAAAATCATAGCTTCCGAAAGCAACACAAAAGCCCCATGTTAGTGTTAGAAGCATGACAGTGGATCCTGCAAGTACGCTCATTCCCATTGCTGCCTGTTCCTGAGCAGTTTCAATGCTTCCTGAAAGTCCAGAAACTGAAAACCACATAATCCACATCAGATCTTTCATAATCCTCTGTTAAGTATAGGATAAGGATATGTTTCTAAAGTTTATTTTTGGGTATCAAATTTAAAAATAAACTTAAACCATAGATTGTGGTTTGAGTTTTTAATAGTCATTTCAAGGAAATAATAAGATAAAATCGAAACAACAAAATAACAAACCTTTTCCACATCTTTTAGTAAGATTCAATAAAAAATAAAGATATTTTAGCAAAATATAACTTTTTGATAAATTGATCTAACCCTTAAGTACATGCACTTCCGGAACATTTCATGTAAACATGTGACATAACCTAATTATTTGAGCGCAATGAGCAAGATTCATGTCATATTTTCCGTCAATTTCATCATCAAAGTTTCAAATGTAAGTTTAAAGAGTCCTAAAGCGATGAAGGTTAAAAAAAAAGGGGTTAATTTTTTTTAGCCACTGTAATTTTGGCTAGAATTATTTTATCTTCTTAACGTTTAAAATAATACACATTACCTCCAAAATGAAGTAATTGACGCTATTAACCGAATTAAAAAATTATCATAATACCCACATTTTAAAATCAAATTTTTTTATCTAATTTACTCTTGACCATAAAACTAATGAAATATAACAACAAACCAACACACATTTTGATCAAACATGTCAAGTTACTTTTTTCCTCAAGGGAGGTTTTGTTTCAAGACTGAAAGTCACTTATTTTTTTGTTACATGTTTTTTAATCTAGGACCGATGCCCTACATGTTTAGGTATTATGTCATAAATTATAAAAGATATTTTAGACGCTTAGACAATATTTTTTTGGAGGAAAACAATGAAAAAAAAGCCTATAACTTTTTTTAAGCGTAATGGAACACACTCTTCGTTAACTTTGATAATAAAAATAACTATTTCACTTTTGTATGTAACTACAAAAGATAATGTGCATAATTTTAAATGTCAAATAGATAAGATATTTTTAGTCAAAACTACATGGAGGTAAATAGCAAATTACCCAAAAAAAAAAAAAAAGAAAGAAAGAAATGAAAACCAAAGTAAGAGAGGAACATGAAAAAAAGTGATGAGGTAGAGCCCAAGAAGGAACTTACTAAGCACCAACAGAACTTCAGGGACTGCACCAAGAAGGTGAAACAAGCTTGCTCCAAAGACACCAGGTCCGACCATTTCGAAGAACAGATCAGACCCAGCCGAGACATACCTCTCTCCTACTGAAAGCAAGTACTCATACACCACTACGAGGAAGAGTTGCCCCCACAGCGTTGTCGTGCACGGCAAGAAACCATAGGTGGGTTCACAGGTCACCGACGTCGTTGGTGCCGACAAACTCAGTTCAACAATGGAAGATATGCAGCTTGTATTATCCAGAGCAGAAGACATAAAGTTTGGATTCTCTGCGATGGATTGACTATACCCTAATTGGGTCAGTTGGAGAAGAAAAAGGAGGGAAAAAGTGATCAGTCTTGTCATCTTTTTTGTGGAGAACTTGGGAGTTCAGGAATGGTGGGGAAATTTATAGAAATTTGGAGGGGGGGTTTGTGAGTGAGTCAGTCACGGGTCTTTATACTCGAAAAGAAATAGCTAGGTTGAAGAATAGTTCACGGAGTTACGTATACGTTAATGGTAATTATACATGATTTGATAAAGTTGACATGTTTTGAAAAGTCTTTTGATAATAATATATTGCACAGGTGACGACAAATGGCTCTTTCATATATTTGTTTTATATATTCCAGTTACTACGATACCGATTTATGAGACACCAATTTGAAAATAACAAAAAAACTAGTTAATCAAAATAATAAGTAAATTGAATTAGTGTTAGACACAAACAATATATTTAACCACTAACAAATTTCTTATTTTTGATTATGTTATTATTTAAATTGTGTTGGAAATATAATTCCGAAAGATAAAGTGAATGGCGGAGTACAGTGCGGATTATGTTGCTCTCTTGAGACGATTCGTATCTCTTTATGGAAAAAACACAATACAAAAAATAACATTAAGTCGTCCCTAGAATACAATAACTTAACCTAATTGACTGTTGTTTCATTCAAATCTACATAATCGAATGAAGCAGAAATTACATACGACACCTTTTTATATTTCGTGCCGAACTTAATTAATTGTTGTTTCACTTAAATCTGCACAATCAAATGAAGTTAAAATTTCACATGACATCTTTAACAGAAATTTCTATATTTCGTAAATTTTAGAAACTCGTATGTCTTTTGCTGGTTTCATCCCTGAGCTCATGAGTCTCAAAGTCTCATTTAACTCAATAACTAGATAACACTAATATATTTTAATATTTTAGTTGATGTAAGATTGAGTTTCTCACATAAAAATATTCTAACAAATTATTTTAGAGTTTTATCACACAAACACAACAAAAAATTAACACGAAATACTCCAACTTACATGATGTGAACAAAATACAATACAAGTCGATTGACAATTTTATAGAAATATGGTGGGGCCATTTTCCCTTTCAATGTTTGACAATTTTCTTAAGGTTCTATCGTATTACGACTAAATAAATCCTACAGTTATGTGATCTCTTTCTCATCCCCTTTCGACGAAAAACATGTAATTCATTTTATAATTACAATCCAAAAAGACTTTTACAAAGGATTTGTTTCTTTTTATACCCACTTCCTGGATACATCCCCCCTTTTTGTAATGAATAATGTTAGGAATTTTAAATGTATGTGGATCATTTGAAATGCACATGGGTGGATGTCATTCTCAATCCAATCTAATACTTTCCATTCCAGGAAAGATTTCTACAAACAAGAATCTCTATTTTGTAGGGGGGGTGAATTTTATCAGTTGGCTACGTCCTTCAGGCAAGTTTGCTTTCACTTCTTTCAGTTTGCTACTCTTCTAGGAACACCCTTTCCCAACATTACTTGTGTATGCCTATTGGACACATTAAATTATCGGTAAATCTTGCTCAATCTATCATTTGATGTCAGCATATTTTGAAAGCTTATGTAATACAGCCAATTTAGATTTTTAAAAATAAGGACTTCACTGCAGTATCAATAAAAAGAATTCGGTATTGTATCTCTAAAATTTACTATTTCAATTGATGTTTTTATGACTTTTTAAGTCATTTTACAGCAAAAAAATAAAAATAAAATACGGTACTGTACCCCCAAAATTTACTATTTCAATTGTTGTTTTTTACGACTTTTGTGAGTTATTTTACAACAAAAAAAAAAATTATTATTTTAATGGGTGTTTTTAATCACTTTTGTGGATATTTTTACCACTACTATAACTATTTTTACCGATTTTCTTGGATACAAATAAATTACCACTCTTGTGAGTGATGTTCTACATTTATGGGTGTTTTTACCATTGTTGTTACAACTATTTTTACTAATTTCCTTTAGTATCACAATAATAATAAAAACACCACCAAATATAATAAATGTCAGTATGATACCGGAAAAAAATTGTTAGTATCGTAAACAACTCTTAAAAATAAATTCGGACGGTTAATTTTAAGTCGAATAATTTACGATCATTGACTGAATAAAGAATAAAGTAAGAAAATTTTACACGTGATGAAATTTATTAGACAAAAAGTTGAGATACGATAAAAAAAAATTGGTATTTTGGTATCATGATAAATGTCTACATATTATGTTAGAATCTTCTCATCATGAAAAAAACCAAAGTTGAGCATGTTTGTGGCGCGTGTGTCTTTAACATGGTCAGAGGTAGCAGTTGTAGNACACGTGATGAAATTTATTAGACAAAAAGTTGAGATACGATAAAAAAAAATTGGTATGTTGGTATCATGATAAATGTCTACATATTATGTTAGAATCTTCTCATCATGAAAAAAACCAAAGTTGAGCATGTTTGTGGCGTGTGTGTCTTTAACATGGTCAGAGGTAGCAGTTGTAGTTTGAATGATGTTGGCAAATGGTTGTTAGTTTCAACAATGACTGTAGATTTTTCAGAAAAATAACTTTGTAATATGTTAAACGTGAAGTTCAATAGAAGAATCATAGAAGAACCAAACGACAATGGAGTAGTCAACGGTATAGGAATTTTTTTTTTGATATCGTACCATTTTAAGTTATATAGTTATTTTTTATCTATATATATACTATTATAAAATGTCAAGTAACAAGAAAAACTTTTTAATTCCTATTTTATCCTTAAACAAACTTATAAAGACAACAATGTCTTTAATGTCATGCAACCGATCCAACGTTTAGACGGTGTCGCTTCATCTTCCAGTCACCGTTTGGTTAATCCACCTTAAAAGCTTCTTACCTTCTTCAACATCCATAACTCAGCACTTTAACTGAATTTTTTTCTCTACCATTTTGCTTGGATTTTTTTCCTTTTTTTTTTTGAGAATAGTATATAACAGAACGGACAAAAACTAGGGAGAGATGCATTTTCTGTAGGAACTCGCTACCTCTAGCGATTGGCATGGTGGCTCTCAAGCTTAGGTATTTCACTGTACCAGATATGTCTGGTGTGACTACTTTTGTTTTACAGTCGATCACCTGATTTTACTATCTTCGTAAATGTTCCCGTAAAGGGTGAGTCAACGTTCAATAGAGTAACTCATATAGAGAATACCTCTCAACTTAAATGCATATGAAATATCACATGCAACAATCATTTCATACATTTATTCAAATATGTATGTTATGAACAAATGTCATAAATCATGTCATGTCATGAGATGAGACTCACGCAAGCACTACCAACACCGAGCCTTATCCTGAGCTCCCACAACACATGCAATGTCATGCGTATGTATCCGGACATTCCAAGCCCCGTCATTGGTGTTATGTATACTCAATGACTAATTAATTCATTTTCTTGTGTCTTTGTGATGAGATGATTCATGGTATTACACCAATGGGACACCCACCATCAACGGATTCTCAGGGCATCCCACCTGTGGCTCCGTTTTGGCCGTTACACTTTTTTGGAATTTCACTGCCTAAAAGTGTATAAATCAAGTAAACGGGTTTTGTACCCGAGGAAGAATCTAACTATTCTTGCTATTTTCGACACGTTTATCCATTTAATTTCATGTGTGACCCAGCCAGACTTTGGAGTGACTTTTCTGAGCCCACAATTAACCACCTATATGGTGATTGATTTCATGTTATGCACACACTCCTACCCATGTCAATATCCATGAATGTAATGCAACTCATGCATAATGCAATTCAATGTGTAATTGTCATTGGTACCATTTACAATGTTCATTACATAAAGAATGCAATATAATGACATTTTTAACACAATCTCAAACATGTTATGCAAGATAATTAATTCAACTAATATACTTGTAGTCACCTAGGTATTTAAATAAACACCTAGAGGGCACATCAATTTACACAACTAGCATGTTTATGACTTTCAATATGGCAACATGTTTATTAATTCTATAAACATAAGCATAAGTTTACCACAATAATCATATGCTAAATAATTATTTAACATACATATTATTTCATAATCACACAACAAGTTAATAATTTTATTAAACTTAATATGTCATTTAAAATATAAAATAATGCTAATATACACCTAATATGCTTTAAACCACTAACGTTAACTTACACCAAATTAATTATAATAGGATTTTACTAATCACAAAGTTAATTATAAATCATAAATTTGATCCACTAGTTACACTAATCAAAACCTAACATGTGATATGCACTCATAGCCTACTCATTGCATATGTCATATTTTAGGTTAAAATTAAATCTAAATAGAGGAAACTCTACCTTTAATAGCGTAAGCTCACATACTATAACTCTAAGAAAATCAAATTTAGCTTCCCAAGCCTTAGGCTTAGATTATCGTCTTTAATATTTATTTAGAGAAAAATACGATATTTTGTGTGGTTGTGTAGCTATCGCTGAGTAGAGTAACTTTAATTCTTGGGCCAAAGCGATTAAACGGTCTAATCTTCGTAGATCTGAGAATGAATGAAGGAGAAAATAAAGAAAAAGATTTTTTTCTCTTTGGAGAAGAAAAAACAAAAGTGGAAGACTTTCTTACGTTTTTGACCCATACATTAACAATTAATTATTATTTTACCCTTTAATTAATTTTTTTTTTTTTTCGGGTTTTACAGTTTCCTCCATTCGCGCCTCAAGATCACCAAGAGCAAAATAACTCTTACGCCAAACATTACAAGATGCTAATCCTTCAGAACTCCAAAAGACAGAGTAACTCACAGAATGAATTAAATCAAGGCATGGGAGAACAATTCACACTAGTCTGCCCCAATGTGCAAGTATACTCTTCCGGAGCTAGCCTAGCTTCCAATCCCTAAATGGTGCCACCATAGTGATACCCTAAACTCAATGGCATCCAACTATAGCCAGCCTAGCTTTCTACTGTCTGCTCAATAGTGATATTAGGACAGTAACATACACTCATCGGCAGCATACATCCACCAACATTAAACTACATAGAAGACCAAGGCTGGGAAGAACTCAGACACACAAAACTCCTCGCACTGCTTTTCCCAGACCTTGTTATCATTATGAGCAGATGATACTCCAGGACAATTCTATATAAGACACATATCCATTTTTTCTTAGCATTTATCGGGTGTTTACATCTATTGAACACTTGTAAGTAGGAGTCATGACTTGATGAATGAACCCCAAA